AGTATTGCAAATTGCATTCCAGGGTCTTTTGGAGCAGCAAAAGGTTTTCACCATCAGGTTCACTTATCTTTTTAATATATCATGTTAAAGAGATGTCAAGGTCACGGCCTTCTCCCTTGAAATTTGATAATGGGCAGAACATATGCTTTGGATGGGGCACCATTAATTTTCATTTTAAATAATGTAGAACCAGAAAGATTTTATGAAAATCTAAAAATAAATGCTTGTAGCCATGGGAGGCACTAATTTCCCCTCTCAAATGTAACAGAGGACGTAACTTAGGAAGGCTTCTTTCAGTGCATTTTACAGAGGACTATTGTCTGGTGGAGTATAGTGGTCAGAGCTGGATGTCTCTTCTCAAGCAACCAGAAATTGCACTAAGAGACCCAATTTTCCCCCTTCCCTTCTCCTCCCAGAAGCCCGTGCACCTACTCCCTACATCTGTGCAGAGAGAGGCACCTACCTGGATGGATGGACGCAAGGCACTTGGTGCACCTGAGAACAACCTGCCTAATTTTAAGAAAAGGGTGCTGTGAGCTCATCTCTCTGCAGCCTGTCATTTTAGCATCCTTAGTAAGGTGACAGGATCCCTCTGGGGAGCTCAGGATGATGGAGTCCCCAGAGGAACATTTCACTTTCCCCTTGATTGGATACTGTTCTGGATAATAACCATCTGGGGAGACGGGTGCTCCAATTTTCTCTTAAGTTCCCTTGACAAAAAATAGTTTGTACCGACACAACTTTTCTCCACTGGATCCAAAGTTCAAATGAGCCCACAGCCATTCCACAGGATGTGATGCCTGGATTTTGGGGAGAGAGAGAGACTCCTGGTGTCCCTGTGGCTCTGAAGGTCCACTCACTGCAGTGGTCTGATGGGCCCCCTCTTTCCCACTCCATTCTCGTATGGGTCACCTGGTTTCTTCATGCTACTGCTCAGGTACTTCGTGATTTCCATCCTTAAAATTTCTGTGCATTCCATGAAAGTGCACATGGAACAAAACAGAAAAACAGAGGCAGATCTGGAGGCTGGGGTTGAGGTCCAACGGCAGGGAGGCCACAGACGTGACACTCAGGCAGAGTCTGAGCCCAACTCCTCCCTGCTGGGAACCTGAGTGATCAACCCTCAAGATGTTGATATGTTGTGTCAATATTCTCATGGACCCCCTAAAGATTTTTTAATTCATTTCTGATTTCTTCTGATATCCATTGGTCATTCCATAGTATGTTATTTAGTCTCTATGTGTGAGAGTAATTTCAATTTTTATTTTATTGTTGATTTCTTTTTTTAAAAATATTTAGTTTTTAGTAGTGGCTGGACACAATACATTTATTTATTTATATGTGGTGCTGAGAATCGAACCCAGGGCCTCCCACATGCTAGGTGAGCGCTCTACAGCTGAGTCCCAGCCCCAGCCCTTTATTATTGATTTCTAAATTTATTCCACTAGGATTTGATAGGATGCAAGGTATTATCCCTGTGGTTTGGTGTTTACTGAGAGTTGCTTTGTGGCCTGAGATATGGTCCCTTTTAGAGAAGCATCTGTGTTCTGCTGAGAAGAAAGTGCATTCCATCATTGATGCATGAAATGCTCTGTATGTCTGTGAAGTCCAAGTGACTGGTTGGATCATGTAGTTCTCTACGGTCTTTGTTGAGTAGTTGTTTGGTGGATCTGTGCATCAGGAGAGCGGTGTGTGAAAGGGACCCAGAATTATTCTGTTGTGACGGATATCATTGTTGAAGTGGAGAAGGGTTTGTTGGATGTATGCAGATGCTCCATTGTTTGGGGCATAAATGTTCAATATTTATGTTTTGTTGATGTCTAATTTTTCTCAGCCATCTGAAATGTCCTTCTTTGTCCCTTCTGATGACCTTTGGCTTGAAGTCCATTTTATCTGATAGGAGGATGGACCCCCCTGCTTACTTACCTATGAGACCCATGTGAGTGATGATTTTAGCTCATTTACCTTCCAATTATCCTTGAGACATGATTTGCATTTCCAGTCATTTTGGTTTCTTTCTTGTTTTTAAGTTGAGTTGGTTTCTCCTTTGATATTTTTCTTCATTTAGTATAGTTCTTCCCTTTGCTGGTCTTGACTTATATTTTTCATTTCTTCTTCATGAAACATTTTATCGAGTATATTTCGTTCGACAGGCTTTCTCGTGGTGAATTCTTTTCAACTTTGTTTATCATGAAAGGTTTTTATTTCACCATCGATTCTGAGGTTTTATTTTTCGGGGTATATAGTATTCTTGGCTGGCATTCATTTTCTTTCAGGGCTCAGAATGTATTATTCCAAGAAATCCTAGTTTTCAGATTCTTGGTTGAAAAAATCAGCAGAGATCCAGATTGGTTTCCCCTCTAAGTGTGTCCCATTATATTCTCTGAAAAGCCTTTAAAATTCTATCCTTATTTTTATATCAGGCATTTTCATAATAATGCACCTTGGTGTGGGTCTGTTGTAATTTTGTATATTTGGGGTTCTGTGCATCTCTTGTATTTGATTTTCTTTTTTATTTATTTTGTTTATTCATTTTTATGTGGTGCTGAGGATTGAACCCAGTGCTTCACAGGTGCAACGCAAGCGCTCTACCCCTGAGCCACAACCCCAGCCCCTCTCCTTCAGTTTCAAGGTTATATATTTTTGTCTTCTTTTCCTGAAACTCTGTCTTCCATGAGATCCAGTCTGCTGCTGATGCTTTCCCATGAATTTTCAAGTTGGCTCACTGACCCCTTCATTTTGAGGATTTTGGACTGATTCTTCTTGAGGATGTCTACCTCCTTATTAAAGGGATCGTTCACTTTTTTGTATTTTCTCTGATTTTCTTTCTTGCATCACATTTTATCTTGCAGACCAACTTTACCATGAACCTTTCTGAGTTCCATCTCTGACCCTTTGTCCACGAGGTATCCATGGAGTCGGGTGCTGAGGTATTCTGTGCTTTTGGGGTGGTTTGTTCCCTCGCCTGTTCATACTGTTTGGTGGTCTCCCCATCTCTCTGGATATATCGGAAGCCATCGGATTCCTACCTAATGAGCTCACAGCGCCTCTGTGTTCCAGTACCTCACAGACTCGGGGATGGGAGCCCCACCGTGACACCAACTTATACAGACAATATACCGCAGAGGGCTAGGTCCACAGTTCCTAGGTGATATCTACAGTGTCAGTTGTTGCAATGTCCAGGAAGAAGGTTGAGCCATCTGCATCAGTTAAAAAAAAAAAGTAAAATAATCATGAATCAGGTCTGGCCTAGATAAAGACTAGAAATGGGGAGAGAGAAACAAGGGTGTATATATATATGAGTCACTTAGTACACAAATAATCTTCAAAAAAAAAAAGAAAAGAAAAATCAAAAATCAAAACAAAATAACAACAGCAAAAGGAAAGTGAGAAATCTTGGTGAAATGTTCATGAATGAAGGAGTCCTTTCCTCCGTGGTGGAGAAGATAATCAGTGAGCATGGGATTGTCCCTTCTTGGGTGATGGGCATGGGTGGGCTGGGGCTGTGGCTGGGTGGTGACGCAGCTGGCTACATCCAGTGGGCCTGGCTGGCCTGGGCTTGTGGATCAGGGCTGGTCGATGGGCCTGGCTGGCCATTGATGAAGCAGGGGAGTAAGCAGGGCTGGGCAGGCCAGGCAGCAAAGTGGTGGCCAGGCAGCCTGGGCGATGGGCTGGTGGCGCATCTCTAGGCCTAGTAGGAAGATCAGTGGTTTAGGTAGGGGACCTGGGTGGTAGGGGACTTGGATATGGGTGGCCAAGGGGCTTGGTTGTGTGCTGGACTGATGCTAGATCTAGTGTTTACCATGGACCTGGGGAACTGGTGGGTGATGGACCAGGTGGGACAGGCGAGTGCTAGTGGCCTGTTGGGTATCAGAAACTGGGCAGCTGCTGGACCTGGTGGGTTCTAAGGACCCAGGGAGCTTGGAGGGCTCTGGGGACTGGGCTGGTTCTGGGACCCAGCAGAGACCAGCCTGAGTGGGCCCCAGGAACTCAGATGGCACTGGACTGGCAGTCTCTGGGGCCCACTGGTCGGACTGCTATAGCTGGCCTGGTTATTCTTTGTGAGTCACAGGACTCACAGGGTTGGGGAGAGTTGGGGTCCCTCTAGCATCTCCAACTTGTGTCCTTCTGGGCAAAATGCTCTCGGTTTCTGATTTTCCAAGGTTTGGAAGGCTACTTAAGCCTTGCTAGGCTCACATAGGTTCATGTGGACCTTGCTCTGGACACACAGGACTGGGTTTCCAGTCCCCATTGGTTCCTTGGAACTGAAGATGGTTTACTTATTTCAAGTAAACCATCTTAAGCTCCCATCTATTTCTATAGTGAGTTTAATCTATGGCTCTCCCAGTCCTCAGAGTGTGTATTATTGGGTTGTCTTGTTATTTTCTGCTTCGACCTCACGAGTTCCTATTAATCTCCACCAAGGAAGAGATAAGTGCTATCCCAAGAATTTTATTTCACATCTTGATTTTCCTTCTCTTGTCTCCATAAATAAATTCAAAATAATTTTTTTCAGCTTTTACTTCTCTGACCTGAGATCCTGAGAAAGAATCTATACACTGAAATGCTTTTCAGTCATTCAGAAGGAGCTGCTGATTCTTCACATTGTATAATTATGAAGACAGTTCAAACTCACATTTCTAGCAAACGTCTAATAGCGTTTTCTTTTTATACAGATACACTTCGTCTCAGTTTTGATCTCCCAAAAGTAAACCAGTGGTGCTCTGGCTATGGGGGGGGGGGCGGTGTGTCAAGGTGGATCAAAGACCAGGGGCTGCGATTGCTTAATTTTACAACCAAAGTGGTGAGAGTAGTGACCGCCTCTTCCTGACTTCCAAAGTGTCCCATGGTGTCCTCTCTCCAAAGAGAAAGGAAATGTTAGTGGAGAGGTGACGGTGAACTTGTTCTGTGTGATGACAAGAAATGACATCTGCCCTTTCTTGTACCCAATGTCCATCAGTAAATGAGGATGCAAATCACAGTATTTATATTTATTTCAGGACCTTCTTCTCCCTGATGGGAATCTTCCGGGACATCTTCCTCATGGGGCTCATGGCCGCCTCCAGTGGGTACATGGTGGCCCTCCTGTGCAGGCATAAGAGGCAGTGCCAGCACCTCCACACCACCAGCCTGTCCCCGAGAGCCTCCCCAGAACTGAGGGCCACCAGGACCATCCTGCTGCTCATGGGACTCTTTGTGCTCATGTACTTTGTGGACTGTGTGTTCTCCTCCTCTTCGGGACAGATGCACAGCGAGGACCCCACTCGCCTGGGGGTCCAGATGCTGGCGGGCAATGGCTACGCCACCCTCAGTGCCTTGATACTCATCTGTGCTGATCCACAGACACTCAGGTTCCTCCAGTGCACATTAGAAAAGGAGAGGAAGTATTTATGCCGGGCTGGGCGACCCGTCATTTTGTCGTCCCACATCATTTATTTCTAAATGTCCACAAACGTTTTTATGTTGAAAAAAAAAATGGGCTGTTTTGTTACTGTGCCTGCCCAAGGCTGATACCTTGCACTGTCCAAGTAACACTGCAGATTCTGTCATCAAAATCATACCTGTATTCTCCATGTATTTTTTCAACTGCATTTTGTATTTTAATTTTGGTCTATATTATTTTATTTTCATCTGAATGATAAACCCATCATGAGGGTAGAAAAGGAAGAATTAGCCAATCTTAGCCTGGCTCCTGCACAAGGATTCAAATTCATAAAGCATGTCACAATAAAAATAAATAAGTAACAGGTACTATCTGTGCACACACATTTTATGTATATATTAACCATTAATTACCATAGTCATGTTGAGAGGGCAGGGTCTTGCTGAGTTGCTTTATGCCTTGCTAAGAGGCTGAGGCTGGCTTTGAACCCATGATCCTCCTGCCTCAGCCTCCCATGCTGCTGGGATTACAGGTGTTGGCCATTACACCCACCAATGACCTTTAGTTTAAGTGGCACTCAGGAGTCACAGCAAAAGCTACAGAGAACCCGGAGCTAAAATGCCAACCCCAGTCCCGCACCCTTCTATCTCTAAAGCACAGAGGATGGCAGGTTTTAACCTGTGGTGACGTGGCCTTAACTCAACAAGTCTGGCTGCTGGATTGAACCCAAGGTCAATGTGAAAGCTGTTCAGTGGCAGCATTTGTCACCCCCTGGAGGACAGCCCAAGACACCTTCTTCCTCCACCTAGCGTGTGAAGACTCCAGCTGCATTTCTGTGGGTACTGCAGGGGGCTCCATGGTCACTGGTCCCCAAGAATGAAGGAGGCTGCCATTCCTCCTGACTCTCAAAATGTCCACTCTAACCAGAGGAAGAATGTCCGACATGGGGGCCTCCATCTTGCAAGTTACCAACCCTGTGCCAGAAGATACTCAGATACTGTTTTCTGCTTCTTAGGAGGAAATCTTGCTCTGCTGCAGAGGCTGGTCTTGAACCCCTGAGCTCCAGGGATCCTCCTGCCTCAGCCTCCTGAGTAGCTGGACCCACAGCTGGACCTGCTGGGCCCAGCTCAAACATGGCAGCAGATTCAAAGTCGTGCTGAGCCTACGGTATTGCCTGCCCCTCCAGCAGTGTCTTCTGACCTCACACCACGGGCTGTGACCCTGCACCCCTGGGGCACTGGTGAGTTCTTTCCTGGGCTGGGGATCTAGCTCAGTTGGTAGGGTGCTTGCTTTGCAGGCACAAGGCCCTGGGTTCAATCCCCAGCAACATACACACAGCTCTTTGCTTTTTAGCAATTAGGATAGCCATTCTGGTGATTAGGGGCACTTGGTAAGGTCCTTCCATCTCAGTTGAAGCTTGTCTTCTTTACAGGTCTTGATTAAATCCACGATGCCACGCTGCACGGGATGGATCGTGAACTCCAGGGGAGGCGTCTGAGCCCGAGTTCATAATGAACGCACCAGCAAACAGACAGACAATCTCGAAACATCCACAGATCAAGTCTGCCCACGCAGGAGGTCAAAAAGGTTGTAGGTGTCAAATGGACTCAGAATAGATTGATTGTGACTCTGAGGGAACTTGTTGTGATGTCCATCAGGCAGGCCCATAGGAAAGCCCTTCCTCCACCATCTCCCAGGGCCACTTACTGTTGGATGGACTGACACAAAGGTACATCTCAAGTCACAGAAAAGAACTATCATCTGATCCCGTGAATGCCCACGTCTGGCTGTGTGTGGTTGGACTCTCCTGCCAGGCGTCTGAGACCAAGTTGGACCATTTTCCTATCTACTCTGAGATTTGTGGGGTATCACTCTTGGGAACCTGGGAGAACCCTCTTGGCCCCTTTCGCTGTTTCTCTACGAGTTGGGCCATGTGACAGGATGGGTCAGAGTCTTGCTGAACAACTGTTGCTTCTCTTGATGTATCCAAAAATATTTCCCTGTCCACTCAGTGACCCTCCTCTGTGCAGAATGTGCTCTGGCTGGATTCTGTTTTCTGAGGTCCTTTCAATCCCTCTGAACACGCTTTTGGGTGCCTCACACCAGTGCTGTAGGGACCTGAGAGGGACACCATATCTCCCTGGATCCTGGCTGACCCCAGAGAGCCAGGGCCCAAATATTGGCTTCTATTTCCTTGACCCTTTTACTTCCTTAACTTTGGTCTCCAGGATTTGGTTTTAAACATCGAGCAAGTCAGTTTCTGCAGTCTTGAAGTGGGAGTCCTGGGTTTGCATTTCAGTGCATATCATTTTATAGTGACCCCTTCAACTTAATCAGGGTCATTGTTAATACTGAAAGTGGGTTGTATCTTCTATCTAAAGGCTAATTGACTCCACTGAACTCAGGTGTTCTTTTAGATGCAGTGTTTCTGCAAAAACACCAAACAGGCTACAGCTACAAAGTTTTACAAAGAAAATACAGAATGAAATTAAAAAGAGTAAAAGTGTGTTCAGTTGGTATAGTAGCTATGAACCCAAAAATGCATTTTATCCAAATCTTTTATGAGTCCCATATTATATCCCTGGTTCTTTTTTTTTACATGACAGGAATCTTTACAATAAAAAAATGTATCTTGTGAATGTAACATTAATTGTGCTTCATTCTGGCCTACTTTGGAGACATCCTGACTTGGTGCAAGGTGAGAGGCAGAGCATTATCTCAGGGGAGGTGAGGTCCATGGCAAATTTTAGGTAAAATGCTTTATTTCTGCAGCTGATCTTTGCCTTAAAATATCTTAAATGGCAGCCTTCAGCCATTTTCCCCTTGAAGGAGCCTGCCTGACCCCCACATTGGAGAAACAAATCCCTGATGATTTTGCAGGATCTGGTGTACTCCCCTCTGAGCCCATCAGGGACCACCAGGTGAAGAGGCTTCTCCAGTGAACTTGAGGTCGAGACCATTGCATGGCCAGTTTACACTAAGTACCCACGGGTGTGTGTGCACGTGCTTATTTGGAGTTTGCTGGCATCAGAATCCCCAGGAGAAGGCCTTGTTCACATCCACAGGGCTCCCCACTCCCCCAGTTCAGATGCAGCCCACCTGGGATGTGACCTGAGCACGTGTATTTCTAACCAGTGTCCAGGAGATGGTGAGGGCCTTCCTTAGAGCCCATGGGAGGCAGGAGTGAGGTCGAGGGGGTCTCTGGCCACCTGCCTCTGGAACCCCAGGCAAGCGCTTTGCTCTATCTGATTGCCACACTCCAGCTGGTGGGATGAGAAGTTTGGACGCGTCTAACGCCTTGTCCCAGGTTAAGAGTCAGTCCTGAGTCCCATTATGCCATAAGGAGTCTAGGCCCTGGTGCCTCCTGTGTGAAACCTCCCGTGCACCCAGGAAGCACCTGGGGGACCACAGCTGCAGGCTTCACTCCTGCTTTGGGGATGCAAACGGGCTGCAGAAGACAGGCAGGCTCCCACCAGCCTCATCTCCCCTCTCTATCAGGGGACCTTGAGCAGGGGACTCCTCTCTGACTGCATTCTGGTGTGGAAGGGTCCCTGAGAAGTCACTTAGAAGCACTGATGTTCCTCTGTCAGGTTTAGCGAGTGGAGGTGGGCGGAGCCCAAGTGCTGGGCGGAGCGATCCAGCTAAGGCCAACCCTTAGGAGCAGCGGGCAGGGCGGGGCCTAGGGAGGGAGTGGAACCTGAGGAATGGGCGGAGCTGGGGGCGGAGCTGAGTGGAAAGCGTGGAGCCCGGCGAATGGGCGGTGCTGGGGGCGGGGCCGAGCAGAGCGAGGGGAGCCCAGTGAATGGGTGGGGCTGGGGGCGGAGCCAAGCGAAGCCCAGCGAATGGGTGGAGCTGGGGGCGGAGCCGAGTGGAGCCCCACCCCTAGGAGGAGCGGGGGGCGGGGCCAGCGGAACCACTCGCGAGGAGCGCCCCGCCCTGGGCTCCCAGGTGAGCGCCGCACGAGGACCAGAAGCTGAGGGCGGGGCGGGCGCGTCCTTAAGAGGGAAGGAGCCTGACAGGCCGTGGGTCTGGGAATCCCGCCAGAGGTCGCTGTGGACCCTGCCGACAGTGTGCCTTTGGGCTCCAGCGGCCCAAGAAGTGACCCCAGAGTCCGCTCCGCCGGCCGCAGTTCCCCCCTCACACGGGAGGCCGCGGAGGGAGGCCGAGGACCCGCTGCGCAGCCTCCTTCGTCCCTCCTCACGGACGCGGTGGACTCTCCGTGTGTCCAGGTGGGTTGGGGTCCGGGGGTCTCTGGGAGGGTCCTGGTTGGGGTCCGGGGGTCTCTGGGAGGGTCCTGGGCATGTCGCCTTGGAGACTGGTTTCTGGGGGCGACCGTGGTCCCGGCGTGTCGCGGAGACCCCTCCTGGTGCCTGCGGTGTAGACGGCGTGACCTGGAGGCCGAGAGGGTGGCGTGTGGCTGTCACCGCTGGTCCTGGGGCGGCCCTCCCCCGCACTGACCCGGGCAGGGCGTCCTGGTCCTGGGCAGGGGGAGAAGCGGGGACGGGGAGCGGCCTCGACCCTGCCAGGGCGACCTTGGGGACTCGCTGCAGCAGGATGCGTGGGACACCGCCTGTCAGGCTGGACAGAGGACAGCGCAGCCCCGGGGCCTCTAAGGGAAGGTTTGGCGGTGGCTGGGCAGGGATGACGGCGACGTCGTGGAGACGCACAGGTAACATGTAACATGGTGGCATGACCAGGTGACAGGGGGACAAAAGTGGTTGGACCTGGTATATTTATTTACAATTACGTACATGTCCTGTACACGTATGTGTTATGTGCACGTATCCACGAGGTTGTGTGATATATATACAGACACATGTTGATAATTTTGTCTCATAAAAGAAGCGGGGATTTGTGACGGAGTGGTGTGGGGGAGGGGCCCAAAGACCAGGGACACTCCCTGAATCTTCATCTGGAGCCAGCTGGGGGGTGGCTGACCCCCATCCTGGAAAATACTGCCATGAGGCTGAGGGTGACCTGGGGTGAGCACCGAGAGGCGCAGGGAGCCTTGCTGTGTGCCCGGGACCCACCTCCATGGAGTGACATGGAGAAGAGGGCAAGTCTATGAAGGAGGCGGAGAGCAAGGGCATCGGGAAGGGCGATGGAAAAACTGGGAGATGGAAGGACTCGGACTTCTGGGAAAGGCGCGGCCTCTTGTCCTGAGCCCACTCAGAAGTGAACTAGAGGGTGACAAGGACGGAGCATTAGATTTGGTACCATGGAGGTGTCTAAGGGTCTCAGTGGCCCCCTGTCCGCAGGTGGTGGGAACTGAAGACAAATGAGGCCTTAGGGGGGAAGCTGGCCCAGGAAGGGCAGCAGCTGGAGCTTGTCTTTCTGATTGCAGATGGTGACACGTGGGGACGCCCAGGCAGGTGCTAACACGGGAGGTCTCTGGAAAGTGCATTATTCTGTTGTTGGGTTATAGTTAAAGCTTTGGCCTGGGGTTTCATAAACTGACTTCCAGAGCACTCACATATAATTGAGTCAAGCCTTTATTGAAGCACACCGGCGGCAGCTGGCCAGAATATAAAGCTGCGTCCCTGATCAGCCCCGGACAATTTCAAGGGCGCTTCTTATAAGTCTAAAACCACAAAAGGGATGTTCAGGGGGGTCTAGCCAATGCAAGCAAGCCAGGTCACAGAAGCAGGAGAGTGCAGTCAGGTGGCGGAAGCCTAACCAATCACAGCCCAGTCACCCCAGTTACAGAAACAATGCCCCATTAGGTAGTTCCATGTTCTTAAAGGTTTCCATAGCAAAAGGAAAAGAACATCTTGCCCCAGTCATGACCCTTGTACTTGACCTGGTTGTTCTACAGAATGGAGTCACAAAACAAAATGGAGTCACATTTGCTTTTACTAGCACATGGTTTTAGTAGGTTTGATGTCAATCTTGCACATCATTAGGCCTCAGTTTCTTTCCCATCCTTCTGTGACTAAGGGACCATACTGGGCTCACAAGCCCATAAGTCGGACCTCACCTACATTCTTGTGTATATGGTTTAGGAGGGTTTTTAAGAGGCAGCGTCCTACAGGAATCCCAATCAGGAGAAGGGGCCCAACTATGGCTGAAATGATGATACTCAACCAAGGGGACCATGAGAATAGGTTTTGGAACCAATTGCCTGAAGTGTCTTGTGCTTCCTTTCTTTCCTTTAACCTGTTTCTCATTAGCACCAAACTGTCCTTGATTATCCCAGAATGGTTTGCATAGAAACAACAAGTTTCTCCTAGGGCCATACATTGTTTTAGAAATGGTAATTGTTTTAGGTCCTCCTTGTTTTAGAAAGGGACGCTCTAGACCTCATCTGTTTTGTAAGACTATTTCTGTCAGAGCGTCTAGGGACACCTCTAGTTTGGAGACTGACCTTTCTAGTTCTCCTAAATCTCTATCTATCTGAGGCTGAGGGACTTAACATTTTTAGAGCCTGTGGTCAGAGCTGCCTTCCTAAAGCAGCAGATCCAGCTATTCCCAAACCAGCCAGGAGGGGAACTCCAATGGGGGCAACCCATCTGGGTTGATAAATCAGTGGGCCCTGGCCTTGTAATAAGTCCAGGTGTTCCTTTCCTTTTTAAACTCCATCAAAATAGTAGGTTCCATAGTTCAGAGTTATTGACAGTTTGGAGACTTGGGCAAGGAGTTCGAAGTGGGACCCGGGAAGTACAATTTTTGGTGAATGGGGAGTTGTCCCACTTACAAGTTGGGTTGTGGGAGCAAGTGTCTCTTTCTGGGAGGTCACCCAGGGTGGTCTTGGGAGTAGTTTTCCAGGTCCATCTTCCTGAACCAGACATAGTGGTGAACACCTATACTGATCGTGATTTTCCCCCTAATTTTAGGGACCTCCTACTGGTTAGGAAAAGGGCGATGACTGTTCTTGCTTTGATCTGAGAGGGGAGCAATGTGCAGTGGGCAAGCAGTTTGGAGTCCTTTTTTAGAAACTGAGTGGGTCAAGGAGTCCATGGTAAAAATCTAATTCAGGAAGACCAGGATGTAAATTCACGTGGGGTGGGCATCTCTATGAGAGAGACAAAAAGACATGAGTAGTGAAACAAGATTACCACAAAATAGCAGTTGTAGCATCTGGAATCTGTCCATGAATATCATGAAAATGACAGAAATCAATAATTGCTTACCAGGAGGTGGAGGGAAATTGTCCTCATAGCAAGGCCTATCAAAGCCTTTTACCTTAAAGACTTTTATACCTGAAAGATATGAGCACATTTAATCTGTAGAGAAGAGTAACGTGCCACACTTTTATTGATGTTTTTATATTGACCAAGGTTAGCTTTTAAACAAATCTAGACTCTGTAACGTAGGACAATACTTTAAAGTAACAGTTGCTGTCTAACCACAGATGTACAAACCTTAATTTTTCCAAGATTACTTGCTCTAGGGGATAAAACTTAACACACAATGTAACTTATATTTTTAGGAGTTTTTGTCATTTGAAGATATAAATATATCAGAACATTAATATTTGTCCTTAGTTAAAATTATTCAAGGTTGTTCCCTATTTGTGTTACATATATAACCAGCTTAGTTACATATAAACCTTTTAATATTTATCTCTTATTCGTAGATCTTTATATTATTAGACCCTTGTGGTTTACTTGGACGTATTCTAATTATACTTTACCACATAGATTTTTTTTTTAACCTGGAAATGTTTTTTTACTAAATATATTCTTATATTTAGGACTTTTTGATCATTTTAAATCCACTGATCCTTCTTTTTGTTTGTACCTTAAAATAACCCTTATAAATTTCTAAATTTAGATAAATATTTTACCTTATTAAAATGGATTAATTTTTGTTATTTACAGTACTTTAATTGAACTGCAGTTGAAACCTCTTGACTCCTTGTATGTAGAATTATACCTGTTGGGACTTTTATAGTAACCTTGTTTTTATGATAATACAAAATAATTTTATTTTTTTTTAGTTACACAATTTATGAAAACACCAAGTTTGTGTGTGTGTGTGTGTGTGTACCTTATGGAACTTAAGGAGTTAAGAGTTCTTGATATTACATTTAACAGTTAGCATTTTAACTTTGTAAACCAATTAGATGTCTCTAACAAACACATTCATGATTAATTTCATATACATTTAAGTGTAATTTACGTATCTTTTTTTTAAAACGAAGTATCAGACAAGTGCATTGAATAGTATTAGTAATCTTTTCCTGTTAAAGAAAAATCCTAGAGACCATGGATGTCACTTTATAGACATTAACATTTTAACAGCTGTTTAACCATCTAGAAACAAAACTGTACATTAGTAACTTTAAAGACATTTGTACTTTTATTTATTTTTCCAATTTAAATTGAACTTTTAAAATCATATTAACCAAAGGTATTTGGATCCATTTTTTAAAACTTTTAATTTATGAGCTCATAGATCAATTTTTTTTGTATCAAATACATATACCAGTGAACCCACACAAAGCAAACAAAAGCCTTGTAGCTTATTTTTAAAACCTATTAGATCGAGAGTTAACCCTTGTAAGTTGGCCTTAGAATAAAGCAGAGTGTAATCAGAAAACCATATTAACATAGGCATATTGGATCAAAATGATGAATTTAACAAATATAGAATTTTAAGTTTTTTCTGACCTTTTCCACTAGGGATTGAACCCAGGGCACTTAACCACTGAGCCACATCCCAGATCATTTTATTTATATTTTTATTTAGAGACAGGGCCTCACTGAGTTGCTTAGGGCCTTGCTCACTTGCTGAGGCTGGCCTCCACCTTGTGATCCTCCCCATGTAGCCTCCTGAACCACTGGGACTCTAGGTGTTTTTACCCGTGTCTTGCTAGAGTTCCAGGGATGACCTCTGTATTGAGACACTGTGCTCTTAGGGGATATGCAGGTAACTTCTCTCATTGTCAGCTGGATCCTTTTCTCTGTTCTTGCTTTCCTTGCTGTGCAGAAGCTCTTGGTTTGATGACGTTTCACTTGCCTATTTATGATTCTGTCCCGTGTCATAGTGTCACAGCTAAGGGACCATTTCCTAAAGCAATGTTGTCAGACGTTTGTGTTTTCTTTTTATATTTTACTCACCAAGTTATTCTTCTTTGATTTTAGATAGAAACATAATAACTTTGCCTGCTAATCAGTACAGCATGATATTCAGATCCACGTCACACTCTGTAGGGATCCAACTAGAATCGAGATGATACGCATCACTTTAGAAGGATGGGGAGGGGTGGGTACATGGGGCCCCAGGATCTTCCTCTAGGAAGGTTACAGATTCAAGTCTCATCACTTTTTTCCCTTTTGAGTTGATCTTTGGTATGGTATGGTGGGAGATAAGTCTCTGATTTCTCTCCTCTGCATGTGGATATCAAGTGTCCTCAGCACCATTTGTCAAAGAGACTGTCCTTTATCTATTATGGGCTCACTGGTCAAAGCTGAGTGTGCAGCAAGCTCTTGGGGGATCACCCTGGCATTGGTCTGTAGATTGTGTACTTTTTAGCACCACAGTGTTTTAATTTCTATAGGTTTGTAATTCTTGGATTCTTTTTTTATTTTTTATTTTTTTGCATTGGTTACAGTGAGTTACAGTTGACAGTGAAACGCATTGACACATCATATATAAATGGAGTATAACTTCACATCCTCCTTGCCATACAGGATGTGGAAATACACCAGTCATGTGATCGTATGTGCATGTGGGGTAATAATGTCTGACTGCTTCCACTGTCCTTCCCCCCCCCACCCCCTCCCTCCACTCCCCTCTCTACTCCAAACAACCTCCATCCCCCACCCCAGTGCCTCCCTTGTGATTAGCATCTGCATATCGGGGGACATTTGCTCATATATTGTTTGATGGGTTGTGTTTTTTCCTTTGTGAAGTGTCTGTTCAGTTCCTTTGCCCATTTACTGATCGGCTTTTTTTGTGTGTGTGTTAAAGTTTTTTGAGTTCTTTATAGATTCTTGAGATCAACGCTCTGAGGTGCATGTGGTAAACAGTTTCTCCCATTCTGTAGATTCTCTCTCTGTATGACTGATTGCTTTGTTTGCTGAGAGGAAGCTTTTTACTTTGAATTCCTCTCATTTATTGATTCTTGATTTTTTTTTGTGTGTGTGTGTGTGTGCTTTAGGGGTCTTGTTAAGGAAGTCAGCTCCTAAGCCGACATGGTGGAGATCTGGGGCTAATTTCTTCTTCCATTGGGTTCAGGGTCTCTGCTGTAGTGCCAAAGTCCTTGATTCACTTTGACTTGAGTTTGGTGCAGGGTGAGAGGGAGGGGTTTAATTTCACTTTGCTGCAGAAGGATTTCCTGTTTTCGCACCATTTGTTGAAGACATTCTTTGCTCCCATGTATTTCTGGTGCCTTTGTCTAGGGTGAGAGAACTGTCTATGTGGGTTTCTCTGTGTCTTCTATCCTGTTTTGTTGGTCTGTCTGTCTTCATGCCACAACCATACCACTTTTGTTACTGTCGCGCTGTGGTGTGATTCAGGGACTGGTATTGTGATGCCTCCTTTGACCCCGTTATTGCTAAGGCTTGCTTTTGCTGTTCGGGGCCTCTTACTTTGCCAAATGAATTTCATGACATCTTTTACTATTTCTATGCAGAACATCATTGGTGTCTTAATAGGAATTGCATTCAATCTGTGCAGTGCTTTTGGCAGTAGGGCCATTGTCACAATGGCCCAAGCTTCATTCTGCCCACCCAAGAACGTGGGAGATGGCTCCGTCTTCAAAGGCCTTCCTCAGTTTCCCTCCTTGCTGTTCTGATGTTTGACTGTGGAGGTCTCTCACCTCTTTGGTTGGATTAATTTGAAAATATTGTATTTTTCTTTCCGAGGCTATTGTGATCGGGGTAGTTTCCCCAATTTCTCTTTCAGAGGATTCATCAGAGATCTGTGGGAACACATTGGATTTATGGGTCTTGAGTTTATATCATGCCATTTTGCTGAATTTATTTATGAGTCCTAGAAGATTTCCAGTGGATTTTTTTTGATATTCCAGATACAGAATCATGTTGTCAGCAGATAGTGATGGTTTGGGTTTTTCTTTTCCTATTTGTGTCCCTTTAATTTCCTTCTTCTGTCTCACTGCTCTGGCTAGCATTTTAAGGATGATGTGGAATTGAAATGGTGAAAGAGGACATCCCTGTGTGGCTCTAGGTTTTAGAGGGAATGCTTTCAATTTTTCTCCGTTTGGAATGATGCTGGCCATGGGTTTAGCATAGATGGCTCTAACAAAGTCAAGGTATGTTCCTTCTATCCCTAGTTTTCCTAATGTTTTGAGCATGAATTTTGTTAAATGCTTTTTCTGCATCTATCAAGATAATCCTGTGACTCTTATCTTCAAGTTCATTTGTATGATAAATTATGTTTATTGATTTCCATGTGTTAAACCAACCTTGCATCCCTGGGAGAAACCCCACTTGATCATGGTGCACTATCTTTTAAACATGTTATTGTATGCTATCTGCCAGGGTTTTTATAAAAAAAAATATTTTTCTTTAGTTGTACATGGACACATGACTTTATTGTGGTGCTGAGGATCAAACTCGGTGCCTCACACATGGCAGGCGAGTGAGTGCTCTACCACTGAACCCCAGCCCCAGCCCCTATTTGCCAGAATTTTATTGAGAATTTTTGCATCTGTGACCATCAGGGATACTGGTGGGAAATTTTCTTTCCTTGTATCTTTGTCTGGTTTTGGTATCAGGGTGAAACTAGCCTCATAGAATGAATTTGGAAGGGTTCCTCCTTTTCTATTTCACAAAATAATTTGAGAAATTTGGTAGTTCTGCTTTGAAGGTCTCATAGACCTTGGCTGACAGTCTCTCTAGTCCTGGGCTTTTCTTAGTTGTAGGCTTTTGATGGCATTTTGTATTTCATTATTTTAAATTGATGGGCTTAAACCATGTATGTCCTCCGGATTCAGTTTGGGGAGGTCACATGTCTCTAGTAATTGGTCAATGTCTTCACGATTTTGCATATTATTGGAGTATAAACTTTCAAAACAGTTTCTGATCACCTTCTGTATTTCAATAGTGTCCACCATGATATTTCCTCTTACATCATGAATTTTAGTAATTTGAATTTTCTCCCTCATTCTCCTTGTGGGTAATGGTTTCTCAATTTTATTTATTTTTTCCAAGAACCAAATTTTTGTTTTGTCAATTTTGTTTGTTTCTTTTCAAATTAATTGATTTTTCTTACAATTCCATAATGATGTGTGGTGTCTGCCATATTTCCTTAGGGATAGTTGGCATCTGCCTTTTGTTGAATTGTCTTTTAATATCTTTTATTCATTTAAAATAATTTTATTCAGGTGAAACTGATAAGAATAAACCACACATATGTAATGAGCAGCTTGTTAGGTCTGCCACATACATACACCCACGGAACCGTCCCCACAATAAGGACGTGAAGACTAATTCAGTCTCGAAGGTTCCTGGAGCCCCTTGATAATTCCTCCCTTTCCCCCTCCTCTGTCCAGAAATGACCCTGGACTGGAGTTGACTTTCAAAGACTGGTCAGTCCATCAGAGCCCTGGTCTGCATGGTGGGTGACCCTGGGACAATCAGTTTGGTTTCCAGCCCTTGTTTGTTCTCCATAAAGTCAGGATTCCTCCTATAGGACCCAAGACCACAGGGAAAATTAGGACCAAGGTTTAGGAAGAAGCTAGAGCCACACCTGACTCGGCAGAGTAGGTTCTCAGTTCCTGGCAGCCGGTATTCCTAACAACTCTGAGTCTGTGGTCCAGAGTACGGTTGGGGTCTGCAGCGCCACAGTGTCTTCCTGTCACCAGAGTTTATACCCGACGTCACTGAGCAGAATCCCAGAATTTTCAGGTTTTTTGGGGGGTTTTGTTTTTAAATGAGATTCATTTCTCCTGATAGTGTCCATTTGAAAATCGGATCTAGTGATATTTGAAATGGTGCAATGTTATTACAACCTTTCCTTGTTGCACAGCTTTTAATAACCACCAAAGGAAACCAGGTGTCCCTCAGGCAGACGGTCACTCTCCTGCCCTCCCAGGCCCTGGTCACCAACTTCTGCTCTGTGACTCTGGGGTTTCCATATTCTGCATACTTCCTAAGAGTGAAGTATACATATATCTGTGATTTAAAAAAAAATTATTGATTTTTTTAAAAATACATGATAGTGGAATGCATTACAATTCTCATTACACATATACAGCACAATTTTTCACATACAGAAAAAGTATGTTGACACCAATTTGTGTCTTCATACGTGGACTTTGGATGGTGATGTCCATCACATCCCACCATCCTTGCTAATCCCCTGTCCCCTCCCCTCCCTCCCTCTGCCCTATCTAGAGTCCATCTATTCCTCCCATGGCCCCCCTCCCTACCCCACTATGAGTCAGCCTCCTTATATCAGAGAAAACATTCGGCATCTGTTTTTTTGCAATTGGCTAACTTCACTTAGCATTATTTTCTATATACACAATGGAATTTTACTCAGCAATCTGTAATGTTTTTGTCTGATTATTTTTTTAGCTGAATACTTTTGGGATTTATCCATATTGTTGCATGTATCATTTCTCTTTATGGCAGAGAGATATTCTCTCTCTATAAGTTATATATATGCTTGCATGTTTGTGTATATGGATATATAATGTGCCTGTTCATACACACATCTCTAGCCCCACTGCATTTGTTTATCCAGTTTTTCTTTTTCCTGTAGTTGCTGTGGATTGAACCCATGGCCCGGACCATGCTAGACAATATCTATTCTTTTCTTGATGGACTTTTGGGGTTATGGCACTGCCTGGTTGATAGCCATATTGTAGTCTTCTTTTTAAAATAGTCTATTTTCAGACAGAATAAGGGACAATGTGGCTCTAATAGTACTTCTTCAAAAGAAGTTTTCATAAAACAAGAAAATAAGACGAGACTGTAAAAGTCCGTGGATGTACCTAAAGACACTGATGCAGATATCAAGTAAAACCATACACAAGGTCGTTTGTAGTCACATAGGTGACCTTACCAGACAGAAAATCTGGTGCACTTGCTGAGATCATTTCAGAAAGAAGTTTGTGTGGATAGAGGGGTTTGTAAGTGAGAGTGGAGGAGCCGCTTTAGGTGCGTCTTGTCGGCATCTGAGCTTTGTTCCTCCACTGGGCTGTGCGATGTTCAGGATCTGTGTGTCCGCCCTGAGCAGCACCAGGGGACTGAGCCTGCCGCAGCCGCTGGCCACCGCGTTGTGGATGCTCCCGAGCACGGGGTCGTTTCTCCTCATCCTGCTGATGAGCAGGGAGAGCGCAGAGTCTGCAGAGTCCAGGGCGGTGAAGCAGCCGAGCAGCTGCAGGACGCTGCGAGTGGCCCTGTGCTCGGGGGAGGTGTGGGGGGACAGGCAGCGCTGCTGATGTCTGTGCAGGAGGGTGGCCATGTACCCACTGGACACGGCCATGAGGCCCACGAAGAAGACGTCTCTGAGCGTTACCAGGAGCAGAAAAACGCCCCTGTACCTCGGCAGGAAGGAGCAGTGGCCGTTGACAAAGAGAAGACCAGGCTGCGTGGCATTGGGGGTGGCCACCGTGCAGAGCAGCTGGTGGCTGGTAATGGCCATGGTGAGGACCCACAGGAACAGACATGCCCCCAGGATGGGGTTTGCAGGTTTGACTTTGAAGTTGGCCAGCGAGGAGCCACTGGTGCTGATGGTGAGGGCCTGGAGCACACTGAGGACACAGGTGGTGCCGAGGGACGGTCCCCTCATGACCTTGTGCAGGAAGACCAGCACTTTGCATTTGACGTCACCTGGAATGTCCTGCCCTTCCCAGATGTCTGTGGATACCAAAGGGCCACAGTGAGGAGCAGGACGATGTGTCAGAGCCAGGTGGGCCATGGGGAGGTCGATGAGCCTGGGCTTGTGGCCCCCGAGGAGGGCGGCCAGGTGCAGGCAGAGCAGACAGGTGTTGGCCGAGATCCCGGCCCCAGCCTGCAGGTAGAAGGCACTTCTCGTGGCCCTGAGTCTGGAATCTCGGTCCATCTTCATGGGCATGTTGAAGCAAATGACGAGTTTCTGCAGAGTGAACCAGAAGTGTTTGACAGCAGCAGAATTTTGTCGTCATGTCACAAATTACAGTCACTAGAATCATCATGTACTAAAAAACATTCTTTGGAAGTAGGATAGCCTCTTATTTCCATTATTTTAAATTCAAGGGATGGCGTGTGGCTCGGGGGCAGAATGCTGGTCCACCCCAACCCAGACCAAGGAGAATAGTCAATTAAAAAATAATCAACTAATTTTAGCTTGTGCACCACTCCTTCTTCAGATCAATGACTTTGTAGCAGCCCCTTACCTCAGGGAGGTGGTGATGCCTTCCCCTCTGTCTGGTGGACCTACTGCGTTTTCCTTTAGATTATAAATCCCACCACCTCCTTTTACTCCCTCCCTTCCCACTTCCTAAGATGTGGTCCTGTTTGTCCTGGGAACAGCGTCTCTGAAACACGGCTGCTACGGAGACATTGCCCAGGGAAAGCTGTAGGCCCCCAGGTTGGAGTTGGAGACGCATCCCCTAGGAGGACAGCCTCACCTGCTCATCCCACTGTTTCCTTATACAAGTGCAGAATTGGGAGGAATCATGTACTTATGTGTCCTGCCCCTCCATAGCTTCCTCTAATCCAGTCACCATCACTTACCCTCAGGGTCAGCCATGTCGCCCCATGTGAGTGACTTCAACTCCGTTTGCATCCTGAGTCAAGAGGGGAAAGGTGGCATTTGTGCCCTGTCCCTTTTGGTGTGAGCCAGATTGGTGAGAGTCAATCCCGTGACAGGTGAAGCCAGCATCCTTGTGTTGGCGTTGGGATGATTCCTACCCAAGGTGTGTGTGTGTTTTGTGAAGTAGGATCAGGAGATGTGGAAACAGGAGTAGTGCTGTCACTCACCCCTTGCTGACGTTAGCTGGAGATCCAGCCCAGGGTCATTTGTAGAAAGCAACAAAGGAGACATTTTTTCAGGAAGAGAACTGGTGCCTGGACCCGGGGGTGCCTTACCACTGAGCTACATCCCCAACTCCCAGCCCTTTTTATTTATTTTTTAATATGGGGACAGTTTCTCACTGAGGGTCTTAGGACCTCACTGAGTTGTTGAGGCTGGCCTCGAACTTGGCATCCTCCTGCCTGAGACTCCCAAGTTCCTGGATCTGTGGTCACATGTATGCCTGGCACAAGGAGAGTTTAGCAACAGTTTACCTGTTTGCTTGCCTCTCCTCGGATGAAAGAAGAGGTCTCGCACACACTCTTTGTAAATGCAATAAAACTTTCAATTTCAAGGGAAATTAAATATTTCAAAACTAAGCTCCAGGCACTGGTCACAGGACCAATAAAATCCACCCATCATTCTAGTTGGCCTGTCCGTCCCCAAGGAGGAAAAGGGAGTGTCTGCAATGAGCAAGGTGAAGTCCAGCTGCACGTCTTCCATTTGAATTGTTCCTGTTTGGAAGATGCTGGAACATTCCTTAGCTCAGAAACCTCTAGATGCATATTCACTCAGACCCCAAAGGACACCTGAGTGCTGGGAGCAGACCCCCGAGCCATTGAGTGTCCTTCAGGGAATCTGCCCTCGTTTCCCAAGCTGCTGTCACCCTGCTTCCAAAGCCTGCATCCAGATGTTTGGGAACAAGATGGGAAAGATCTCCACTATTGTGGTCTTATTGCCATTCATCTTCCTTTAAAATTACATGAATTCCTGGAGGTTATTCTCCATAATTTACCTTGATGAACGTGCAAATGTACATTCTGTGATCCTTCAGTGACTGGATAGAAACTGTACCTGGACTATATTTTTATGAAGATCATTTTCATTTCCAAGCATCATTAATCAAGATTAGCATGACAAGAACACCAAGAAAAGCTTTAGAAAATGCAATGTGTCTCATGGAAGGTAAAATAAGCTTCCTGTAGATCATTGTAAGCTGCTCTTCTTTGCCACAGAAACTTCAGTGAAATTACAGCAAACCCTTAGATTTAGTGGAAATCGACTAACAGAAGCAGAACATGTCTTACTCTTTCAGAAATCACTACTTAGGCAAAAATTCTTGTCTAAAATTCTCTGTGCTGCCTCAGGGATTGGGCATTAGTAGAGAATAAAGCTGGCAAATCAGCTGGGAGAGGGCAAGGACTCTAGGGATTTTTAGGAACCGAGGAACCATGTGTGTTAACATAGAAGGACATGAACTATAGCCAGATCAGGGGCCTGTGGTTCTCTATAATAATATTACTTTGCCCAGTTACATGTTTTCTAATTTTATCACAAATTTGAATTTATTCTAGTATTTTGAATGTATTTTTTAGGTATAGATGGACACAATACCTTTATTTTTATGTGGTGCTGGGACTGAACCTAGTGCCTCACATGTACCAGGCGAGTGCCCTTCCCCTGAGCCCCTGCCCCTAGCCCCTGCCCCTTCTTCTAGTATTTTTAAATCTCCTTTCATCCCTGGGATTTTTTTTAAAATTCAATGAATCTACATGACAGAATTACTTTTTCTGGAAAATTCTGGGGTTAAACTCTGTCTTTCTCCATGGTTTGCATCAGTAAAGATTCTAAAGCTGAACATCAGCTCGGTGAACCTCAGAGCTAAACGTCAGCTAGTGAACCTGACAATAGGTGTCAAGGAACAGTGTTTCCAACATGAGCAGGTCCTAACTGTCACCAGATGAATGTCCCTGGGCTCTGTGTACTAACTCCACTACAGAGAGATCGGCTGTGAAAACATTGTATATTTTATTTGGTAACAAATTAAAATTTATTCTACTCTTTGTCTATCTCTGTGCACCCTTAGGGATTTCCCTTTTTAATTTTGTGAAGTATTTTAATTGGTAACAAACTGCTAAATCACCCCTCTTTTTACTTTTTTGGGTATTATTTTTTACTGATTGTTTTTAGTTATTTATAACCTTAGGATACAGTTTGACAGAATCGCCAAAGTGTGAAATACAGTTTGTTCTAATTCAGTCCCCTGCTCTCCCCTCTCACCTCCCTTCCCTTAACTCTACAGATCCTCTGCAATTTATTTACAGTTTTTGTAAGTATGTATTTTTTAGTTGTAGGTGGACACATCCCTTTATTTTGTTTCTATGTGGTGCTGAGGATGGAACCCTGTGCCTCACCCGTGCTAGGCGAGTGCTCTGCCCCTGAGCCCCAGCCCTAGCCCTCTTGTCTTTTTTCTTTGAGGACATTTTCAAAAGGCATCAACATTGTCTAAGTTTAAAATAACAACTATGTGATAGTGAAGAAGAAATAATTAATCATTCACCTGTACTGAAATTGGGTACATTTTAAAAAATTAAATTTCATCAATTTTTGGTAAGTTTCTATTACGACTGATATTAGATAGGATTTTTAGTTTGTGTGTGTCTGATCTTATGAATTGAAATGATAGGTTTCAAAACACTTTAAGTCCTAGAGATTATTGTAGAGCTAGATCTATCGATCTCCTGAATTATTATTCCTCGTGCACACTTATACTAATTTACTCATGAACAATAATACTGGTAATATTATAAATCATACTAATGCTATGAAATAAAGCTGATGCCATAACATTTCAAGTAAATAGCAATTCTACGAGTGCCTGGGTCGCAGTTATAATGTGGCAAGAGTCGGACTCCAAAATGCCTTCCTGCAGCACCTCCCTGCCTCCCCTGCCTCTTGTGCATTCAGACATGAGGCTGAGCCTTCAGGAGGAGGTCATATGGGACCCAGGGCCTGAGCTCACCCCTCAGAGGACTGGTGACCTTGGTGTTCTGGTGAGGCCTGACAGGACCTGTCTTACAGTAGGCAGGGACGGTGTCCCCAAAGGCAAGGCCAATTCCTCTCCCGTCCTCAGACAATGGTGAACAAGAAGAGTCTGGAGGGAAACTTCTTGAGTGGATCTGTCATCGTCCAAGGTCAGAGGCGCCTGGGTTGCTTTCTCGGTTCCAATCATAATGAGCCAACCTAGGGCCACTCACATTGAGGCACAGAGTTAGTGTGCCTTGGGATAAAGTATTAACCTATGTGATGTGACCTGTGGATGGCAACACACGGAGGAAGTGTGTCTCGGGACTGTGACTGACAGCAGCTCAGAGCAGTGACGCCCACTCCCAATGCGTATGCTTCCCAACACCTGGATCTCCACGTTGGTCCTGAGAGTAAATTGTGGAGAGTAAACTGGCCCACGCCAAAAAGAGCCCACTGTATGCCCCTGGGCACCAACCCATCAGTCTCTGAGCCCTTGGATCCTTCTTCCTTCCCTTTCTTGCCCTCCTCCCTCCCTTCCTCCCCTCTATATCTATCTATCATCTATCTCACGTTTTCTTTCTTTATTCACCTGTTGAAGACCACCTAGGTTGGTTTCATACTTAGCTATTGTGACTTGAGCTTCTATAAACATGAATGTGGCTGGGTCACTAAAGTATGGTGGTTTGAAGTCCTGTAGGTATATACCAAAGCATGGTGTAAGTGGCTCAACTGGTGCTTCCATTCTCCTTTTTCTAAAGGATCTCCACGCTGCTTTCCATACTGGCTGCACCAATTTGCACTCCCACCAGCAGTGTGTGAAGGAATCTTTCTGCAATCCTCCTCAACCTTTATTGTTACTTGCATTCTTGGTAATTGCCACACTGAATGGAGTCAGGTGGAATCTCAGTGTGGTTTTAGTTTTTTTTTTTTTTTTTGGTGGGGATGGTTATTGGGGATTGAACTCGGAGGCACTTGACCACTGAGCCCCGTCCCCAGCCCTATTTTGTATTTTATTTAGAGACAGGGTCTCACTGAGCTGCTTAGATCCTCACTGTTGCTGAGGCTGGCTTTGAACTCACATCCTTCTGCCTTGGCCTCTGGAAGCACTTGTATTACAGGCGTGCACCACTGCACTGGGCCTCAGTGTGGTCTTAATTTGCATTTCTCTAAATGCTAGATGTTGAACCTTTTCTCATATATTTGTTGACTATTCCTTTTATTTTTCTGGGAAGTGCATGTTTAGTTCCTTTGCCCATTTATTGACTGGGTTTTTT